CTTTATTTAAACAAAAGAGAATATAAACAAAAGAGAAGAGAGCACTTGGCGAGAAAGTCAATGAAAAAATCTGGTTTATTTGAAGTTGCAACAGGGAACATGAAGCGTAGAAAAACAGCCCATAAAAGCTCATGCATTTTTTAAAATAAAATAAGTACCATTGATTTGTGCCACAAACGCTAAAATGTGAGCATTTGAAAACATTGGCCAGGTAAATAAAACCAAGGCATGGACTGCTGTTATACCTTGTCCGTAGACAGCTTACAGGGTAAGGACATTTGGGTGACCTATCCATACTGTTTCCCCTTTCCATGGGAAACCCACTGGTGTTGATGTGGATTCACGATGGAAGGGGATTCAGATTTTTGCACTGTGCTATTGTATAAACTATTTGTGAGCCCAGAGAAAATAGGAGCGGGGAGACACCGGTGGGCATCCAGTGGGCTTCAAAGCCTAAAATTATATAAGAGAGCGATACATTCTAATCTATTGACTTTGAACTGTGTCTGCTATTCTGATAATTACATTTCAAAATTTTTACAGAGCACACCATCAGTTATTAAACTAATGACAATTCATTCATAATAACAATTCTAACTAGATGGTAACTTTACAAGTAAAGTTGTGGGGCTTGTTGTCCTTTGATTATATTATTCAAACATTTAAATACTTTTTAATTCCCATCGACACAGTAGATTTGGTCAGATGTGTGGTTGTGGTCAAAAGTTGTATGGATATGGTCAGTAGTTAGATGTGTGGTCAGAAGTTGTGTGGTCAGAAGTTGTGTGGTTGTGGTATGTAATTATGTGGTTGTGGTCACTAGATGTGGTCAGAAGTTGTGTGGTTGTGGTCAGAAGTTGTGTGGTTGCGGTCAGAAGTTGTGTGGTTGCGGTCAGAAGTTGTGTGGTTGTGGTCAGAAGTTGTGTGGTTGCGGTCAGAAGTTGTGTGGTTGTGGTCAGTTGTTTTGGTCAGTAGTTGTGGTCGGTATTTGTGTGGTTGTGGTCAGTAGTTGTGGTCAGTATTTGTGTGGTTGTGGTCAGTAGTTGTGGTCAGTATTTGTGTGGTTGTGGTCTGTAGTTGTGTGGTCAATATTTGTGTTGTTGTGGTCAGTCATTGTGGTCACTCTCTTCACTCTCCTCATCGTCAATTCTGCCCTCTGTGTCTGTGTGAATCCTAGCAAAGGCTTTGTTTTGGAATCTCAATAACAGAGAGAGCTGTGTCTAGAAAGAGACAGGCGATGGGTTACTAAAATAGCTGTAGTTACAGATTGGTGCACACCATTTATGAACAGATTGCGGATTTGACAAGCAGAGAAGTAGGGGAAAATGTTATACCTGCAAATATTTTGTTCTAACTTGTTGCGTTACAGGTCAAAACGGCAGTTGTTTGGGAAAAGTTGGAAGAAGATTAGGTAATGCAGTTACTAAAACAGCTGTACCATAAGTTCCGTAGTGAATGTTTTAGCAGAGAGAAGTAGACGAATACTCCATACACTCTAACTTTTTGTCTAATGTGTTGGGGTAGTGGTCAAAACGGCAGTTGCTTGCAAAAATATTTCCAGAAAATGTTGTTGATGCGGTTACTTAAACTGCGGTAACTTTTCATCTGAATATTATTTTTTGTTCAAACGCCAGATGAGTACCATAGAGGTAGACGAAGATGTGAACGCTCTAACTTTTTGTCTAAGTTGTTGCAAAGTGTAATAATTAGCTGATTTCTGTCAAAAGTTTCATGATTTCACTTAGAGATGTCACGATCGTCGGTAAGAGAGGAGGACCAAGGCGCAGCGTTGCAGGCAAACATACTCTTTATTTAGCGATACACGACCAAAACGATAACGTGACAGTTCACGGTCTAACACAAACCAACTCGAAACAAGATCCCACAACTATTGTGGGAAAACAGCCTGTTTAAATGTGGTTCCCAATCAGAGACAACCAGCCACAGCTGACACTCGTTGCCTCTGATTGAGAACCACACTGGCAACATAGAAAAGAAACAACTAGACCTACAACACAGAAATCTACACACCCTGGCTCAACATAACAGTGTCCCCAGAGCCAGGGCGTGACAAGAGAATGGCAGTTGGAAGTGATGATGTCACGATGGGGATCTTTAGATTCTTGATGAAATGCCACAATCAAATTATCTCCCAAGATAATTTTATTTGGTTATAGTCACAGCCGTGTATATCCCCCCTCAAGCCGATACCACGACGGCCCTCAAAGAACTTCACTGGACCTTATGCAAACTGGAAACCACATATCCTGAGGCTGCATTTATTGTAGCCGGGGAGTTTAACAAAGCAAATTTGAGGACTAGGCTGACAAAGTTCTATCAACATATGGACTGTTGTACTCGCGCTGCCAAAATCCTCAACCATTGCTATTCGAACTTCCGGGATGGTTATAAGGCCCTCCCCCGCCCTCCTTTCGGCAAATCTGACCACGACTCCATTTTGCTTCTCCCTTCCTATAGGCAGAAACTCAAACAGGGAGTACCCGTGCTAAGGACTATTTAACGCTGGTCTGACTAATCGGAATCCACACTTCAAGATTATTTTTATCACGCGGACTGGGATATGTTCCGGGTAGCTTCCGAAAATAATTTAGACGAATACACTGAAACTGTGACTGAGTTTATCAGGAAGTGTATAGGTGATGTTGTGCCCACTGTGACTATTAAAACCTACCCTAACCAGAAACCGTGGATAGATGGCAGCATTCGCGCAAATCTGAAAGCGCGAACCACCGCATTCAACCATGGCAAGGTGACTGGGAATATGGTAGAATACAAACAGTGTAGCTACTCACTCCGCAAGGCAATTAAACTGGCAAAACATCATTTTAGAGACAAAGTGGAGTCGCAAATCAACGGCTCAGACACGAGATGTATGTGGCAGGGTCTACAGACAATCACGGACTACAAAAGGAAAACCAGCCACGTCGCCGACACCGACGTCTCGCTTCCAGACAAGCTAAACACCTTCTTCGCCCGCTTTGAGGATAACACAGTGCCACTGACGAGGCCCACTACCAAGGACTGTGGCCTCTCCTTCTCCATGGCCAACGTGATTAAGACATTTAAGCATGTTAACCCCCGCAAGGCTGCCGGCCCAGATGGCATCCCTAGCCGAGTCCTCAGAGCATGCGCAGACCAGCTGGCTGGTGTGTTTATGGACATATTCAATCTCTCCCTTTCCCACTCTGCTGTTCCCACATGCTTCAAGATGGCCACCATTGTTCCTGTACCCAAGAAAGCAAAGGTAACTGAACTAAATGACTATCGCCCTGTAGCACTCATCATGAAGTGCTTTGAGAGACTAGTCAAGGATCATATCACCTCTACCTTACCTGTCACCCTATACCCACTTCAATTTGCTTACCGCCCCAATAGATCCACAGACGATGCAATCGCCATCACACTGCACACTGCCCTATCCCATCTGGACAAGAGGAATACCTATGTAAGAATGCTGTTCATTGACTATAGCTCAGCATTCAACACCATAGTACCCTCCAAACGCATCATTAAGCTTGAGGCCCTGGGTCTGAACCCCGCCCTGTGCAACTGGGTCCTGGACTTCCTGACGGGCCGACCCCAGGTGGTGAAGGTAGTCAACAACACCTCCACTTCGCTGAACCTCAACACTGGGGCCCCACAAGGGTGCGTGCTTAGCCCCCTCCTGTACTCCCTGTTCACCCATGACTGCGTGGCCAAGCACGCCTCCAACTCAATCATCAAGTTTGCAGACGACACAACAGTAGTAGGCTTGATTACCAACAATGACGAGACCGCCTACAGGGAGGAGGTGAGGGCTCTGGGAGTGTGGTGCCAGGAAAATAACCTCTCACTCAACGTCAACAAAACAAAGGAGATGATCGTGGACTTCAGGAAACAGCAGAGGGAGCACCCCTCTATCCACATCGACGGGACCGCAGTGGAGAAGGTGGAAAGCTTCAAGTTCCTTGGCGTACACATCACCGACAAACTGAAATGGTCCACCCACGCAGACAATGTGGTGAAGAAGGCGCAACAGAGCCTCTTCAACCTCAGGAGGCTGAAGAAATTCAGCTTAGCACCTAAAACCCTCACAAACTTTTACAGATGCACAATTAAGAGCATCCTGTCGGGCTGTATCACCGCCTGGTACGGCAACTGCACTGCCCACAACCGCAGGGCTCTCCAGAGGGTGGTGCGGTCTGCCGAACGCATTACCGGGGGCAAACTACTCGCCCTCCAAGACACATACAGCACCCGATGTCACAGGAAGGCCAAAAACATCATAAAGGACATCAACCACCCGAGCCACTGCCTGTTCACCCCGCTATCATCCAGAAGGCGAGGTCAGTACAAGTGCATCAAAGCTGGGACGGAGCGAATGAAAAACAGCTTCTATCTCAAGGCCATCAGACTGTTAAATAGCCATCACTAGCACATTAGAGGCTGCTGCTGCCTATTGAAATCACTGGCCACTTTAAGAAATGGAACACTAGTCACTTTAATAATATTTACATATCTTGCACTACTCATCTCATATGTATATACTGCATTCTATTCTATAATATTCTACTGTATCTTAGTCCATGCCGCTCTGTCATTGCTTGTCCATATATGTATATATTCTTAAATCCCATTCCTTACTAGTTTTGTGTGTATTGGGTATATGTTGTGAAATTGTTAGATATTGCTTGTTAGATATTACTGCACTGCTGGAGCTAGAAGCACAAGCATTTCGCAACACCCTGCTAAACACGTGTATGTGACAAATAACATTTGATTTGATTTACTGGTACTCCCTGTATATAGCTCCATTCTTGTGTATTTTATTTTACTCCTCTTGTGTTACTATTTTATTTTAATTTTTTTAACTCTGCATTGTTGGGAAGGGCTCGTAAGCAAGCCTTTCACGGTAAAGTCTACACCAGTTGAATTCGGGGCATGTGACAAATACAATTTTATTTAACTAGATTTATCACACCACTGCATAACACCCAGCAGATGGTGCTACGTCCTTATCCTTGTAGGTCTCAGTTCTGCGCTTTCAACAGAAAATGCGGAAGTGAAACAATGTAATTTGATGCCATTCCGGAGGACAGGAGTGGGCGACAAGAATTGATAGTTTACAATATAATACAATTATGGGAAATTAAATAGCCTAGCGGAATTTATCGCTCAATCAAAACATCACGGTAGCCGAGTTGAAATGGAGAGCCGTCGCACAGTAACACGAAGGTCGAGAAATCAACGCATCAGGTGAGTTTATGAGCTGCATTTGCTTTGTTGACAACGTTGGTTGGTCTGTGCCTGTCGCTGTTATGGCTTTGTCATCCATTGTCTGTCTTATAATGAGACTGACAGACCAACATTAATTTGATGAGAAGCGATAGCCACATCAATGATTGCCTTCTGGTCTATAGACTATCAAATTGCAGCATTGTAGGCCTATGTGACCCCAACAAAAGGTTATTACCAATATGCAAAACCTTTCTTAAATGTAGAAAGTATCAACATTGTATCAGAGTTGTCTGGTGCGTGCGTGTTGTTGCTGAAACCAAAAGCACAGTAACAATGAATTGTATTTCTTACTCCACCCGACACCACTCCTCCAAATCTCCCCTGCCAAATCTCCCCTGCCAATTCGTAATTATATCCATGACCATCTGTATATTGCCTTGCAGACTCATCAAATGACATCTACTTCGGAAAGCGCCACACACTTGTTTGCCAACCTGTAGGTGTGGTGCATCCCGTGGTGGGCTCGAGGGCGTTCAGTGTTTGGTGTCAACAAACGAACACATCCACATCATCGCGCTCGGATTCGTCCACGGAGGCAGAGGGACTGAAGTTGGGACGGACATAGTCGCCCCCATGCCCCGCTTCCCGGGGAGGACTGCAGACGTGGCTGCTAACCTGACTTCCCACGTGCTGGGTCGGCCACTGTGCGCTAACGGGACGCCCTGGATCCTCTATCTGTTCGAGGAATGCGTGGAGAATGTGTGGGAATACTGGAGTGTAGTCATCGGGCTCATCTCCATGTTCTGTTTCTTGCTGTCAACTCTACCGTAAGTTGTTCACTACTGCAGTAGGAAGGCGTTCTATAAGGGAAAAGTAGTTTGTATTTATAATATAAACTAAAATAGCTGATCACAGATATTGTGATCAACAGCTGCCATCTCAAATGTATCTGACATTTGGTGTTATGAAGATACTCATGACAGATTAAATAGGCCATTATTGATTTATTACCATAGCAATGAGAGAGTCTGTGGCTCTGCAAAGCCAGTTTATCAGGTTCTGAGAGACATCTAATAAAAGTATCTGTTTGTCACATCTCTCTCCTCTCTGCCTCCATTGTATCTCTTGTTCCCTCTCCCCCCTCCCCCCTCCCCCCCCCAGACAAGTCATTGAGGCTTATCGCAATGGTAAAGTGGAGGAGGCCATGTCTATTGGCTTTCTGCTCTTCCTCTTCAGTGGGGACCTCAGCAGTCTGACAGGCTGCGTCCTGACCAGCCAGCTGCCCATCCAGGTATCTAACAACAGGCACAACTTCAACTTGCTCTTGTGTGCAAAGTATGAGTATGGGCAGAGGCATAAGGCAGTTATTGTTTTGATTGCCATAGCACTCTCTGCCCAGGCATACCCTGATGCGCTGTATCACTGCTGCGTTGAAGCACCTTTTCAGCATTTTGTTTAATCTGGTTTGTGAATGGAGTTAGTCTTTCTACATTTACATTTTATCCAAGGGCATGTTTTTCTTAACCGTTCCCTTGCCAATGCCTATCTGCAGAGGGTGCCACTGTCAAATCATATTTGATTGTTCTCTCTCTCTCTCTCTCTCTTCTCTCTCTCAGATTGTGACAGTAGTGTTCTACATCTTCACTGATCTCCTGCTCATCTCCCAGTTCCTCTACTACAAGATCAAGAACAGCTCATCTAAAAGTAAGGCCAGCCTGATCATGATATTGCACTGTCCCCCCGATAAGGAAACACAATAGAATGCCATGATTGTATATGTGTGAGAATCAGCATGGTTCCTTGCATTGTAGTTAGTGTGCTGTAGGTCCATATTTCCATTTTACGTTGAATTCTGAGGGTGCAGTCTGTGTACTCGCGTTATATGCTACATCTATGCCCTATTCACAATGCTAACAGCTACATTGAGGGAAAAAAGTATTTGATCCCCTGCTGATTTTGTACGTTTGCCCACTGACAAAGAAATTATCAGTCTATAATTTTAATGGTAGGTTTATTTGAACAGTGAGAGACAGAATAACAACCAAAAAATCTAGAAAAACCCATGTCAAAAATGTTATAAATTGATTTTGCATTTTAATGTGGGATTCCAAACTCTCCACCATGGCCAAGACCAAAGAGCTCTCCAAGAATGTCAGGGACAAGATTGTAGACCTACTCAAGGCTGGAATGGGCTACAAGACCATCGCCAAGCAGCTTGGTGAGAAGGTGACAACAGTTGGAGCGATTATTCGCAAATGGAAGAAACACAAAATAACTGTCAATCTCCCTCGGTCTGGGGCTCCATGCAAGATCTCACTCGTGGAGTTGCAATGATCATGAGAACGGTGAGGAATCAGCCCAGAACTACACGGGAGGATCTTGTCAATGATCTCAAGGCAGCTGGGACCATAGTCACCAAGAAAACAATTGGTAACACACTACGCCGTGAAGGACTGAAATCCTGCAGCGCTCGCAAGGTCCCCCTGCTCAAGAAAGCACATATGCAGGGCCGTCTGAAGTTTGCCAATGAACATCTGAATGATTCAGAGGAGAACTGGGTGAAAGTGTTGTGGTCAGATGAGACCAAAATGGAGCTCTTTGGCATCAACTCAACTTGCCGTGTTTGGAGGAGGAGGAATGGTGCCTATGACCCCAAGAACACCATCCCCACGTCAAACATGGAGGTGGAAACATTATGCTTTGGGGGTGTTTTTCTGCTAAGGGGACAGGACAACTTCACCGCATCAAAGGGACGATGGACGGGGCCATGTACCGTCAAATCTTGGGTGAGAACCTCATTCCCTCAGCCAGGGCATTGAAAATGGGTCGTGGATGGGTATTCCAGCATGACAATGACCCAAAACACACGGCCAAGGCAACAAAGGAGTGGCTCAAGAATAAGCACATTAAGGTCCTGGAGTGGCCTAGCCAGTCTCCAGACCACAATCCCATAGAAAATCTGTGGAGGGATCTGAAGGTCCGAGTTGCCAAACGTCAGCCTCAAAACCTTAATGACTTGGAGAAGATCTGCAAAGAGGAGTGGAACAAAATCCCTCCTGAGATGTGTGCAAACCTGGTGGCCAACTACAAGAAACGTCTGAACTCTGTGATTGCCAACAAGGGTTTTGCCACCAAGTACTAAGTCATGTTTTGCAGAGGGGTCAAATACTTATTTCCCTCATTAAAATGCAAATCAATTTATAACATTTTTGACATGTGTTTTTCTGGATTTTTTTGTTGTTATTCTGTCTCTCACTGTTCAAATAAACCTACCATTAAAATGATAGACTGATCATGTCTTTGTCAGTGGGCAAACGTACAAAATCAGCAGGGGATCAAATAGTTTTTTCCCTCACTGTATGCCCAGTTATCAACGCCTAGTGTGTATGACATGACTGTGTTTGTGTGTGTGTGTGTGTTTTCAAGTGAAATAGCTACAGTGGGGAGAACAAGTATTTGATACACTGCCGATTTTGCAGGTTTTCCTACTTACAAAGCATATAGAGGTCTGTAATTTTTATCATAGGTACACTTCAACTGTGAGACGGAATCTAAAACAGAAATCCAGAAAATCACATTGTATGATTTTTAAGTAATTAATTGGCATTTTATTGCATGACATAAGTATTTGATCACCTACCAACCAGTAAGAATTCTGGCTCTCACAGACCTGTTAGTTTTTCTTTAAGAAGCCCTCCTGTTCTCCACTCATTGCCTGTATTAACTGCACCTGTTTGAACTCGTTACCTGTATAAAAGACACCTGTCCACACACTCAATCAGACAGACTCCAACCTCTCCACAATGGCCAAGACCAGAGAGCTGTGTAAGGACATCAGGGATAAAATTGTAGACCTGCACAAGGCTGGGATGGGCTACAGGACAACAGGCAAGCAGCTTGGTGAGAAGGCAACAACTGTTGGCGCAATTATTAGAAAATGGAAGAAGTTCAAGATGACGGTCAATCACCCTCGGTCTGGGCCTCCATGCAAGATCTCACCTCGTGGGGCATCAATGATAATGAGGAAGGTGAGGGATCAGCCCAGAACTACACGGCAGGACCTGGTCAATGACCTGAAGAGAGCTGGGACCGCAGTCTCAAAGAAAACCATTAGTAACACATTACGCCGTCATGGATTAAAATCCTGCAGCGCACACAAGGTCCCCCTGCTCAAGCCAGCGCATGTCCAGGCCCGTCTGAAGTTTGCCAATGACCATCTGGATGATCCAGAGGAGGAATGGGAGAAGGTCATGTGGTCTGATGAGACAAAAATATAGCTTTTTGGTCTAAACTCCACTCGCCGTGTTTGGAGGAAGAAGGATGAGTACAACCCCAAGAACACCATCCCAACCGTGAAGCATGGAGGTGGAAACATAATTCTTTGGGGATGCTTTTCTGCAAAGGGGACAGGACGACTGCACCGTATTGAGGGGAGGATGGATGGGGCCATGTATCGCGAGATCTTGGCCAACAACCTCCTTCCCTAAGTAAGACCATTGAAGATGGGTCGTGGCTTGGTCTTCCAGCATGACAACGACCCGAAACACACAGCCAGGGCAACTAAGGAGTGGCTCCGTAAGAAGCATCTCAAGGTCCTGGAGTGGCCTAGCCAGTCTCCAGACATGAACCCAATAGAAAATCTTTGGAGAGAGCTGAAAGTCCATATTGCCCAGCGACAGCCCCAAAACCTGAAGGATCTGGAGAAAGTCTGTATGGAGGAGTGGGCCAAAATCCCTGCTGCAGTGTGTGCAAACCTGGTCAAGACCTACAGGAAACGTATGATCTCTGTAATTGCAAACACAGGTTTCTGTACCAAATATTAAGTTCTGCTTTTTTGATGTATCAAATACTTATGTCATGCAATAAAATGCAAATTAATTACTTAAAAATCATACAATGTGATTTTCTGGATTTTTGTTTTAGATTCCGTCTCACAGTTGAAGTGTACCTATGATAAAAATTACAGACCTCTACATGCTTTGTAAGTAGGAAAACCTGCAAAATCGGCAGTGTATCAAATACTTGTTCTCCCCACTGTAGTTCCCACTAAAAGTTGATGACTGACAAATTCTCACCTTGTAAAGCTCCCTTGTTAGTCCAGTTTGCAGCCGAGGGCTGAAACACAAAAGGAAGACATATTGGATTACTTAACAGTACATCTATGTGAGGGTGTATTTTGTGTGTGTAGGTATTTGTTTGTGTGGGCTGGTGGGATGTGTATCTGTCACTGTCAATAAAGACAGAGAGAGGGAGGTCTTGCCAAACCTGTACAAGCCCTTCCACATTTCTCCATAGCTCAGGTATCTCACAGGTGTGTCTGGAACAGGTCACCTCTACAAAACCAGGAGGGACAGCAACACTGTGTGTGTGTCTCTCTTCCCCCAGAGCGCCCCATGTTGAAGTGGTTGTGTTTCCTGTGGTGCGGGGCTTCCACTGTGGCCCTCCTGATCCTCCCCAAGTTCATCACTGACAACAACACCTCTGCCAACACTCAGGTGACACGTGTGAGACAGTGACTCGCTCTCTCTGTCTCTCTCTCTCTCTCTCTGACTCTCTCTCTGTCTCTCTCTCTGTCTCTCTCTCTCTGACTCGCTATTGCTCTCTGAGTCTCTCTCTCTCTGACTTTCTCTGACTCTCTCTCTCTGACTCTCTCTCTCTCTGGCTCGCTCTCTCTCTCTCTGACTCTCTCTCTGACTCGCTATTGCTCTCTGACTCGCTATTGCTCTCTGACTCTCTCTTGCTCTCTGACTCTCTGTCTCTATCTCTCTCTGACTTTCTCTGACTCACTCTCTCGCTCTCTGACTCTCTCTCTCTGACTCTCTCTCTCTCTGACTCGCTCTGACTCTCTCTGACTCTCTCTCTCTCTCTGGCTCGCTCTCTCTCTCTCTGGCTCTCTCTCACTCTCTGACTCTCTCTCTGACTCGCTATTGCTCTCTGACTTTCTCTTGCTCTCTGACTCTCTCATAGCTCTCTGACTCTCTCTGTCTCTATCTCTCTCTGACTTTCTCTGACTCTCTCTCTCTCTGACTCTCTCTCTGACTCTGACTCTCTCTGACTCTCTCTCTTCAGAATGCCTCTAACAGCGTGGAGATCTCTGGTTATGCCTGTGGATACCTGGCCTCCATATTCTACCTCTCCTCTCGGTTTCCACAGCTCTACAAAAATGTGAGTGACAGTATATGTGTGAATATGGAGGGGAGGTGGGGTAAGATGTGACACGATGGCAGGATTAGGGAACATAAGGAGTGAGAGGGAAGAGGGTGAGAGGAGGGGAAGGATAGAGGGAAGGAAGGAGTGATAAAGGAAGGCTCAAAGTAGGTGGGGCCAGACTAGACGAATTAGGAAGAAATGCTGTTGTTTTGAGAACCAGGCAAACCAGGCGTGAGAGAAATGAGAACCAGACGTGAGAGACAATGGTGTTTTGTGCTGAGGGATGTCACAGCATCTGGACTGGTGGCTCCTGCAGAGAACTCACTGTCACTCCCAATGTGAGAACGGTTCCTAGGGATGTTCTAAGGGGGAGAGCACAGTACACACACACACACACACACACACACACACACACACACGTTTTGATATAGTGAGTGTCTCTGTGAGGGTGAGTGACTTACCAACAACAAATCATGCATACTAACACATTGTGAAAATATGTTAGGAATTAATATTATTTTGGAACTTAACAAAAACAAGTTGATAAAATGAAGATCTAATAGAATGGGGTTAAATGATTAACTACATAACATGGTTTGAAGACCCTAAGCCTAAAATCTTCACTTTTCTCTGTTGGTTTTGAGGTCTAGACGGTAACATCTCCCTGTCTGTGTCCAGTTTAAGAGGCAGTCTACAGAGGGCACATCGTACATGCTGTTTGCCCTGGCCATGATGGGCAACGGGACCTACGGGCTCAGTGTCATTGTGGTTCTGCCAGCTCTGACCGGCTCCAAACAGACCTTCATCCTCAAACATCTGGCCTGGCTCATCGGCAGCCTGGGAGTCCTCCTCCTAGACTTCTTCGTATCCTTTCTTTTACTCAGAGATCCTCATTTCACTGAAAAAAGGATAAGGATAATGAAGTGAAAGTGTTATTTCTGTCTCTGGAATATTGTTGACTTATTGTGGTGTGTTTTGTGAATGAGCCTTAACTCTCCCAGGTCACCGCCCAGTTCATCATCTACAGGAAGAACAGCTCCGGTAAAACCAGCAAGAAGCTGAAAGTTCCTGAAGTAGAACCTCTGCTCTGTGAAGAGGAGGAGCTGTCCACGTTCTAGAGTGAGAACATTATGGAAGTTCTAGAGTGAGAACATTATGGAAGTTCTAGAGTGAGAACAGTAAGAGAATTCTAGAAATCCTCTCCATAATCAATAAATACATCAAATGTATTTATAAAGCCCTTTTTACATCAGCAGATGTCACAAAGTGCTAAACAGAAACCCAGCCTAAATCCCCAAACAGCAAGCAATGCAGATGTAGAAGCACGGTGGCTAGGAAAAACTCCCTGTTGACCGGAGACCTAGAATAATCAGACAAATGTGATAGTACACCAATGTTCCCTCCATTTAAGTACAGGTGAATTAAAGGGGGCATCTTATGTTTGAAGAATGTAATCTCAGTAGATCTATTCTCTCTTTCTTTGTAAGGGGGCTCATATGATCAATTCACTATGTGATTTCCTAGTACACTACAGCCCTATAGGATGTGTCAGTGTCTCACATTGCTCTAGTCTAGTTTGTCAATGGTTAGAGCTCTTGTGTTTTCCAGGATATGCAATGCACTTTGAACTGTTCACACACCATTGTCATCTAGGTAAACCGTACAAGAGGGGACCACAACAGTGTTTGTTCCTGTATGTAGGTTTAAAAAATGTAATACATTGTACCAACAGTAATGTATCACATTGACTATTGATGTGCCACAAAGTAGTGGGCTGCACCAACAGCAAAGTATTTTACACTTGTGGTGAATTTGATATAGTTTACCCTGGTTTGTTCTAGGAGCAGATTCTGTTGTAATTTAATCCCTGTGTAAATGATAGTTGGTAAATTGATTGGAGTGTTACACAGTGTTTATATTGTGAAGATGCAGTGGGGTTAAGCCTTATACCATGTGCTTTACATCTACATGTCTTTATGTGTTGCTGCAGTGGAGGTCTGAGGGCTGTTTGACGTGTTCAGGCTGCTGCTTTTAAAAAAACCAACAGTTCTTTGGCTGAAATCTAAACGTTTTAGCTGAACAGCCTCCTTTCCTTATCTCCTCTCCTTATGTTATGGCCCAGTCATTTTACCTATCATTGGCCACAAAGAATGGAAGGAAGGAGGGTTTTGACAGTATTGAGTCACAGCCTTGAGCATTGAGTTCACCCCTTATTGTGGAGTTGTATCCAGGGGTGTATTCACTAGGATCAAAACGAGGAGGGGCCTACCTGAATTTGTCCAATAGAAACGCTCGTTTTCGTTGCAAAATGTTTTCAGTTTAGAGTAAACGGTTTCTGTTTATAAAGTGTTTTGAAACGGAAACCGTTTACTCTAAACGGAAAACGTGTGCGACTAATGAATACACCCCAATCTTCTATGTGTGCAGTCACATGTTCAGAAAGCGGAGGATCAAAGTTGTGTGGGAACTGGGACCGTCTTATAAGTTGATGTGCATGGAGTCGTAGAATAGAACTGAGGGAATAGAACTACAAGCGTTTTTGTGCAGGTCATGTCACTGTTGTTAGTGTGTCATGGATGTGATTGGTTGATTGACAGCACAGATTTCGTTTATCTGGCCCAGGTTACCCCGGTGGGGGGGAGTTTGAACCGGGTGAAAAGTGATTGTATTCATTTTGGAACAGGGCTGCCTCCTGGGCATGAGCCAGTGCCCCGCTCTGGCCGCCGGTGAAGTCGGCCCAAAACAAAAGTGACGTAATGAAGCACTTGGAAAGATGAGTAGGATTCTGTTTTCACTGAAGTGAAGCTTTTGATAAACACCCTTTCTGCCTTCCCAATGAAAACTAGTTTTGACAACTCAAACATTTTATTTTATGGAAAATATATCTATGTTTCTGGACGATGCACCTAGCTGCCTTGTTGACAACATGACCGAGCGGCACAGATTACTGTTTGATTTGAGAAGGGCGCTCCTCCCTCCCTGTAAATATGAAACTAGTTAAGCGTTGGACAGAAATATAAAGGAGTGCTTGTGTTTTAGGAGCGCAATGTGACAAAACATGATGTGACTAAGTATTTATTGGTAGAGATAGTCTAGAGTTACAGCTGGGCTTTAATAAGCACAGTTGTGATTTGGTGGACTTTCCATGTGTAAAATAAGGAGTATTTCGATTTTTACGTGACGTATTGAAAAAGCTCAAAATGTGGTCTTTAGAATATGGCTGCCCAGCAAATGATTGTGGCCATGGTCAGGAAACGGCAGGAAACCCATGAACGGAGAGAAATTATGATGGCACTTATTTTCTCTGTGATAAACCTGTAGATAGTTGCAGATTTTGTTTATTATTTTAAAGGTAATTATCGGTTGTTTCAGACAAACTTTTTTGCCTTTCTCTTGATAAATTTAAGTTTCATTCCGGTTAGCTCAAAGCCTGGCCTCTCTTCAATGTGTTTCCTATAGACATCTTCCAAACCATAGGATGGAATAGTGAGATATTTATTTACAGTCTCAAGAACAAGGAAAATCGATAAAATTATTTTTACTTGAATAATGACACTGTATTGCTCTTTTAAGATACAAATGTATTTATATTTATACTTAAGATAACATGGTATTTTATTTTCCTTATGCTTTAGCCTCTTTAGCCTGTATGTTACTTGCGATATTTAATCTAATTGATGATAATGTCCCAGTATTTCAGCTTTGTAGCTCATTGTACACAAGTTAAGCATTCCAATATGATGTTTATGTAACAAACAAACATCTCAATAAAGTCCGAATTATATCCAATGTGTGTGTAGTTTTTTTTTGTTTTGAGGCAAGATAACACACGTGATGTAGTATTGTGTGTAGTATTTGGCAGGTACACAGTTTCAGCAAATATGTATTACAGATACAGTAATTTAAATATATCTATAAACACATGGTTTACAAACTGCTTAGAAATCATTTAAGTTGTCCTACTATACCTTCTATAATAGCCTTTGGTAAATTGGTTAAGTTAAATGGGATGCACGGTCTCTGCAACATATCATGTGCATTTTGTAATTGAAATGTATGCACTCACTAACTGTAAGTCGCTCTGGATAAGAGCGTCTGCTAAATGACTAAAATGTAAATGTGATTGAAATATTCTACATCATATAGTATGTATATCCCAATGCTACGAGGTGTTTGATGGGTGGAAATGGGCGTTGTTTGAGTCGCGATGAGGGCACCAGGGAATGAGTTTATATCTATTGGAGAATCTTAATTGTATACGCCCCTCCTCGCCTCCTTCTCAAAACCCATTGGATGAGAATGGCAGAGGTCCCGCCCCTCCAAACTTCTCCTCCAATGGGTTTTGAGAAGGAGGCGATGAGAGAGGACGCGGGGAAGATGCAATTGTCTCCTACAGAGTTTCTAAACCTTACTGTACTGTCTTTGCTCATATCAAAGACAGTGTAGTGTGAAGATAGGCTAAAACTGCTTATCCAATAGAAATCCCCGATCGCACTTGTAGGCGATGTCATGGCGACGTTGGCTAGCTAAACTCATACGTAAAAGATGTCATCGTTCGGGTGTAGCGGTCGTCTCCCGCCAAACTGCGCATGTGCAGGCTGTCAACGCAAAGGCAATCCTTCGATATAGAGTTGTTTTTGACGAAAATGAAAACGTGTCAATTTGTCACTTTCACGAGGTTGGGGTAAGAACATGTTCAACTACTTAAGAGATTGTCTCGAATCTAGGTTATGCATTCAGATTTATAGAAAATGAATAACAATAATTTGTCACTTCTCAAACCCCAAACCCCGGCCTGGTCTGTTTCGCAAGCGTTCCCGGAAAAATCGCGATGTTGCGCCTCTGGGTTTTGAAACTGTGCTCATGTCCTCCAACACCCCGCCCACACATTCCAAAAGGGGTTTGACCGAACCCTGACGTGACCAATGAGAAAAGTAAGTTCCGTTGAGGGCGGGTCGTTTGGGATTCAATAGGGAAGGACTTCCTTCGTAGTTGCTGTTGGATGGAAGCTGCGCTGCTTAGGTGACACGTAACTAAAGTTAAAAGTGTTGTAGGCCTCGTAAATATCGGGATTTTGAGTTCTACTACAGGACTTGACAAAGTCTGAACGCGTTGCACTGGGAATCTGTTACATCCTGTCTGGTTTTGTTTCGGAATAGAGTGGTGCGCTTCTACATTACACACTGATAAATTCTGCTTCTCATCAAATATCGGAGAGAGTTTGCTGTGTGTAGTGTAGTCAAGCGAAAATCCAAGAAAAAGTAACAACAAACTGGGATTCCTTCGTGGATGTGGCTACACCGTCTTGTGGGCTAAAATGAATCCAACATATTCACTAAACTTGCCTCAACTCTGAAGTGTTTCTGCTCCCACTGTCTAATAATGCTTGGGGAAGACTGAGGTGAGAAGGGGCTTGAGAGGTAGAAAGTTTTGCCGAAGTTTGCACAGAAGTGACCGGGGGATTGTTTGTGCAGGCGGCGGGGAGGGAAGCGATTAAATCATGGGGAATGGAGTGTGTTCTCGGAGGCAGCGGAGAATCTTCCAGTCTCTCCTTCTCATCACTGTGGTTTTCGGGATGATTTATGGGGGGATGATATCGTATGAGATGCACAATCAGTTGAAGAGGACTGAGGCGATGGCTGTCAAGTACCAGCAGCATCAAGAGTCGCTGTCGGCGCAACTTCAAGGTAAATATTTGCCGGAGCAGAGGTTTGAAGAAATAAGGAAAGGAAGGCGAGAGGGAGGAGTTCGAATGGGTGACTTGTATTTTGTACTTGTATGACTTTCTTTGCGTTCTTCTTTACCGATATCTGATTTTACTAAAACATACAATTGTATCAGTTGCGAGTGTCGAAATTGGGACTATCACCGCGGTGGCTTATTTTGCGTTGGCTGGCTCAGTTTACTGTATTGACTGGGTGGGTTGGACTTGAGTTTAGCACATATCATCCTCCACTTAGCCTTTAACCTAGCATAATACCGGCGCCTAAGAGGTTATTTTGAGTTTGGTCGAGTCCCACGGAATGTCGATTCTTGATAACTGTAAGTCGCTCTGGATAAGAGCGTCTGCTAAATGACTAAAATGTCAAATGTAAATGTAATAAATTATTTATGGCTGCAAAGTAGGACATAACCTGGTAGCCTCAGTGTCCCGAGGCCTGCTCTGCACCTTAGGAAACCTCACTTGTCACCTCAACGTCAGACAGGTCACTAGGCTGGTATTCTAAACTCTTAGGTCACTCCCTCTACCGCTGGTGTCTCTAAGTAGGCCCTGGCCTTTTGATGACTGAACCACCAATTTTATGTTTGGTTGTACAATTGTGCTTTCTAGGTTAGTTCAACGCGGACACTGTTCAATTTCCACATACTTTGTTATATCACCTAGTTTAGGCTACACACACATGGTGGTTGTTCCATGTTTTAAATGTACTGTATGCCCAGATGGACTGTGAAGTAACAATACATGGACCGTTTCAAATGGATTGGATAGCGCTTCACTAAAATGATGTCATAGGTAACTCACTTCAGCCTACTCACATTGTTGTGGAGTGGTGGTTTTGTTCCCTCACTGTCATTCAATATCTACTCTCCACTGTTGATAGCATTAATGTGACCTATATTTAGAGATGGACTGTTACACAGCCTGTGGGGGAATATCGATTCCGTTTTCCCTTTTTGACAACGGAGCAGCCGTTAACTGCCGTACAGGGCTCTGGTGGCCATGTTCCGCTCAGTAGGCTACTGTATTTAAATGTTCTCTAGTAGACATTTAGCAGACACTCTCATGCAGAGCGATTTACAATAACTGCATTGAAGTGAGGAAGCTAAGTCGCAATCAAAGGGATTTATCAGTCAAAAATACTGAACAAAAATGTAAACGCAACATGTAAAGTGTTGGTCCAATGTTTCATGAGCTGAATAAAAGATCCCAGAAATGTTCCATTGCTTATTTCTCTAAAACATTTTGCACACATTTGTTTACATCCCTGTTAGTGAGCATTTCTCCTTTGCCAAGATAATCCATCCACCTGACAGGTGTGGCGTATCAAGAAGCTGATTAAACAGCATGATCATTACACAGGTGCACCTTGTGCTGGGGACAATACAAGGCCAATCTAAATTGAACGGTTTTGAGGGAGCGCGCAATTGGCATGTTGACTGTAGGAATGTCCACGAGCTGTTGCCAGAAAATTGAATGGTAATTCTCTACGATAAGCCTCCTCCAACGTCGTTTTAGAGAATTTGTCAGTAAGTCCAACCGGCCTCGCATCCTCAGACCATGTCTAACCACGCCAGCCTAGGACCTCCACATCTGGCTTCTTCACCTGCGGGATCGTCGGAGACCAGCCACCCGGACAGCTGATGAAACTGTGGATTTGCACAACCGAATAATTTCTGCATAAACTGTCAGAAACCGTCTCAGGGAACAGTCTCAGGGAATATCATCTGCCTGCTCGTCCTCCTCACCAGGGTCTTGACCTGACTGCAGTTTGGCGTCGTAAACCGACTTAATTGGGAAAATGCTCACCTTCAATGGCCACTGGCATGCTCTTCACGGATGAATCCTGTTTTCAACTGTACCGGGCAGATGGCAGACAGCTTGAATGGCGTCATGTGGGGGAATGGGTTGCTGGAACCCTGGATTGTAAACTGTCATGGTCAAAACATATTGATACAACAGTCTAGGATGGGGAGAAGTCTGTCTATATAAAGCGCTGCTCTGCATTCTTAACAGCACTATCAACAAGGCAGGTCCTACAGGCCCTAGTTTTGTTGCACCTGGACTACTGTTCAGTCGTGTGGTCAGGTGCCACAAACGGCAGCACGGCTGGCCCTTGGATGTACACAAAGAGATAACATTAATAATATGCATGTCGATCTCTCTTGGCTCAAAGTGGAGGGGAGATTGACTTCATCACTACTTGAATTTGTGAGAGGTATTGACATGTTGAATGAACCGAGCTGGCTGTTTGAACTACTGGCACACGGCTCGGACACCCATGCATACCCCACAAGACATGCCACCAGAGGTCTCTTCACAGTCCCCAAGTCCAGAACAGACTATGGGAGGCGCACAGTACTAAATAGAGCCATGACTACATGGAACTCTATTTCCACATCAGGTAACTCATGCCAGCAGTAAAATTAGATTTAAAAAACAGATACAAATACATCTTATGGAACAGCGGGGACTGTGAAGCAACACAAATATAGACACATGCATACAAACACACAATAACAGACATACACACATGTACACATGGATTTTGTGTTATAGATATGTGGTAGTAGAGTAGAGGCCTGAGGGCACACACTTAATATGTTGTGAAATCTGTTATGAATTTATTGTAATGTTTTTAAAATGTATAACTGCCTTAATTTTGTTGGACCCCAGGAAGAGTAATGGGGATCCATAATAAATACAAATACCACAAGGGTTTCTCTGGGTTTGTTCGCGGTACAACAGGGGTTTCTCTGGTTGTGTTCCTGGTACCACAGTGGTTTCTCTGGTTGTGTTCCTGGTACCACAGTGGTTTCTCTGTACCCTCAGCCTCTCTACCTCTCCCCTTCTCTCTACCTCTCCCATTCTCCCCTCCCTCAGTCTCTAAACTCCATTCTCTCTACCTCAGCCTCTCTACCTCTCCTCCCCTCTCCCTCTTCCTCTACCTACTCTACCTCATTTCTCTTACTCAGCCCTCCTTCCCTCTCTCTCACTCTCCCTCCCCTTCTCTCCCTCACCTCTCATCCTCTCTCGCTCTCCCCTTCTCTAGCCTCTACCTCTCCCCTCCTTCTCTCTACCTCTCACTCCTCTCTCTACCTCTCCCCTTCGCTCTCCTCAGCCTCATCTCAACCCTCAGACCTCTCTCCCCCTTCTCTCTACTCCTCACCTCTACCTCCTCTCTCACCCCAGTCTACCTCTCCCCTCCTCTCTACCCTCAACCTCTCCCAGACCTCTCCCCTCTCCCCTCTCTCTCCCACCTACCTCTCCCTTCTCTCTACCAACCCTCTTACCTCTTACTCCCCTCTCCTCTTCACCTCTACTCTCCCACCCTCCCTCTCTCTCCTCAAGACCTCTCTATCTTTCTACTCTCTACCTCTCCCTCTCTCCCTCTACTCTCCCCCTACCTTTCTTCTGTCTCCCAGTGGTGTGAGTTTTTACTTCACAGTTTGTCTCTGTCCTGTCTTCCCCTCACCTAATCTATCAAGCCCCAACTAGCTTGACTGAGAGAGATGCATGGCCTAATCTAAAATAAATCACTGGTACTGAGAAATGAACACAGTGGAGCTGTAAAGCTCAGACCACTCTCTCATGTCTTGGTCCCTGGTAAAGGCGTGGTCCCAGTCTATGGGTATCTCTCAATAGTCTAACGTTTCTTCCTTTCCGCATTTCCTTTCCTTCACCCACACTAATCTGAGTAGTGCACAGGTGAAAGTACAGGTACAGTTGAAGTCGGAAGTTTACATACACTTAGGTTGGAGTCATTAAAACTCGTTTTTCAACCACTCCACAAATGTATTGTTAACAAACTATAGTTTTGGCAAGTCGGTTAGGACACAAGTAATTTTTCCAACAGTTGTTTACAGACAGATTATTTCACTTATAATTCACTGTATCACAATTTCAGTGGGTCAGAAGTTTACATACACTAAGTTGACTGTGCCTTTAAACAGCTTGGAAAATTCCAGAAAATGATGTCATGGCTTTAGAAGCTTCTGATAGGCTAATTGACATCATTTGAGTCAATTGGAGTACCTGTGGATGTATTTCAAGGCCTACCTTCAAACTCAGTACCTCTTTGCTTGACGTCATGGGAAAATCAAAATAAATCAGAAAAATAAGACCTCCACAAGTCTGGTTCATCCTTGGGAGCAATTTTCAAACGCCTGAAGGTACCACGTTCATCTGTACAAACAATAGTACGAAAGTATAAACACCATGGGACAGATATCGTACTTTTTGGAGAAATGTCCTGTGGTCTGATGAAACAAAAATAGATCTGTTTGGACATAATGAACATCGTTATGTTTGGAGGAAAAAGGGGGTGGATTGCAAGCCAAAGAACACCATCCCAACCGTGAAGCACGGGGGTGGCAGCATCATGCTGTGGTGGTGCTTTGCTGCAGGAGGGACTGGTGCACTTCACAAAATAGATGGCATCATGAGGAAGGAAAGTTATGTGGATATATTGAAGCAACATCTCAAGACATCAGTCAGGAAGTTAAAGCTTGGTCGCAAATGGGTCTTCCAAATGGACAATGACCCCAAGCATACTTCCAAAGTTGTTGCAAAGTGACTTAAGGACAACAAAGTCAAGGTATTGGAGTGGCCATCACAAAGCCCTGACCTCAATCCTATAGAACATTTGTGGGCAGAACTGAAAAAGCGTGTGCGAGCAAGGAGGCCTACAAACCAGACTCAGTTACACCAGCTCTGTCAGGAGGAATGGGCCAAAATTCACTCAATTGGGGAAGCTTGTGGAAGGATACCCGAAACGTTTGACCCAAGTTAAACAATTTAAAGGCAATGCTACCAAATACTTATTGAGTGTATGTAAACTTCTGACCCACTGGGAATGTGATGAAATAAATTAAAAGCTGAAAAATCATTCTCTCTACTATTATTCTGACATTTCACATTCTTAAAATAAAGTGGTGATCCTAACTGACCTAAGACAGGGAATTTTTACTGGGATTAAATGTCAGTAATTGTGAAAAACAGAGTTTAAATGTATTTGGCTAAGGTGTATGTAAACTTCCGACTTCAACTGTAGGCTTCCTTCCACCTTATTTCTTCCACTACCCTTGTGTCCAAATCAGTGCCGATAAAGGTCATGAGATGTAGCCTACCTAGAATATGTTGTGGAATATAGCCCTAGCGTTAAAGGGAGTTAGAAGCGCTGTATAATAAATGCGTACTTTAAACCTGTGATGTTGAATGCATGTACAATAGGCCTTTGTTAAGATACCTATTGTAATAAAGTGACGGTAAAGGCTCTCTGGTGAGGGTAAAGGCTCTCTGGTGAGGGTAAAGGCTCTCTGGTGAGGGTAAAGGCTCTCTGGTGAGGGTGAAGGCTCTCTGGTGACGGTGAAGGCTCTCTGGTGAGGGTGAAGGCTCTCTGGTGAGGGTAAAGGCTCTCTGGTGAGGGTAAAGGCTCTCTGGTGAGGGTAAAGGCTCTCTGGTGAGGGTGAAGGCTCTCTGGTGAGGGTGAAGGCTCTCTGGTGACGGTGAAGGCTCTCTGGTGACGGTGAAGGCTCTCTGATACTTCTGTGCTGCTCAGATTTTCCAGGTGGTATTACAGGGAGAACAGGTTGGGTAGGATATTAGCCTTGGGTTTTCATGGTGTCACTCTGCCCCTTTAAAGTCTGGAGAAACGAGAAACACTCTCTCTCTTGTAGACAAAGACTAATACTTTTGCTTAGAACTTTTTGGAAATAAAGCTTCTCCTCTCAACCGTGCCATTCTGCTTGTAAAATTATTACCAATTTTACCCACTTTGGGATTTGAGGTGAGGGTTAGGTAAAGGTGAGAGCTCAATCTCAGTGACATCATACTGTGGAGTATCACACCTGACCATCAATCAGCGATGGCAATGCCAGAATACACACGCTGAACCAATACAGAACACCCACACTCATTCGGACACACACACACGTACAGTAGACACACACACACACACACACACACACACAGCAAATGATCTGTTTGCTTGTTCAAAGCCTATGTTTATACTCTAAGATGAATATGTGTGTGTGTGTGTGTGTGTGTGTGTGAAGTCTAAATGTTTGTATCGTAGACAGCTTTCTGTTTAGCTTCCACTCCAGATGGCCCTGTGAGAACATCCCCTCACAGTAACTCTGTTTTCTCTCTCTCTCTCCCTCATCCTCCCTCTCTTTCTCAGTGGTGTATGAGCATCGCTCGCGGCTAGAGAAGTCTCTGCAGAAGGAACGTGTGGAGCACAAGAAGGCCAAAGAGGGTGAGAGAGACAGACAGCAGCCAATAGTGTCTAAATGACTACATGAAGTACATCAATCCTCAATTATACACTCTTTACAGCCGTGGTGATTGCATCATGTCTTCCCTTCCTTTAACAGATTATCTGGTGTATAAACTTGAAGCCCAACAGTCACTGAACAAGGAAAAGGTAGGCCTGAGTCCTTAACTCTAGTGCTAAAGACAGAAAGTTATGCTGTTAAATTCAGCATTTATGTAAATTTGATTGTACATTTTGTTGATAATGTAATATGAAAGGAGTTGAGACTGGGATTGTAAATGTTTGTCGTTTTGTTTATTAAACAGCAGGACTCCAGCAACAAATTCAACTCTTTACATGAGCAGCACCAGATGCTGAAGGTCAGTAAGAACACACACACACGCACACACACACACACACACACACACACACACACACACACACACACACACACACACACACACACTGACCCACCCTCTGTCCTTGTTGTTTTAGAAGCAGCATGAGGACCTGAAGAAGCAGCACTATGACCTGCAGGAGCAGCATCAGATTCAGGGAGAGGACCACAGCAAGGTCTTGGACCAACACAAGGACAGCTTCGACAAACTACAGCAGACCAAAGAGATGGAGGTCTCCAAACTCAAAGGTGCGCACAGACGCCACAGATGCCACAGATGCCACAGACACACAGATGCCACAGGCGCCACAGACACACAGGCGCCACAGACACACAGGCGCCACAGACACACAGGCGCCACAGACACACAGGCGCCACAGACACACTGATGCCACAGCCACACAGACCCACAGACACGCCGCAGACAGACACCACAGACACCACAGACACACAGACACCACAGACGCCACAGACGCCACAGACGCCACAGCCACCACAGACCCACAGACACGCCGCACACAGACGCCACAGACACACACACACACACAGACACACAGGAGGACATGAGTGAATACTAGCAGGCCTTTGTCTCCCTCTCCTGACTTGGAGCAGTGTTGCAGTTTGGAGTTACGACAATGTGTGTGGCATAATAACGTTGTAATAAATATGATATATGTTGTTTATGTGTGTTTATGTCATCACTGTAGAGAATGTGTATAATCTGCGACAGGAGAATAAGCAGCTGAGGAGAGCCCACCAGGACATCCATGTCCAGTTGCAGGATGCACGGGTCAGTACTGGGAATAGTAGAGCTTGGTCTGAGCACCGACCTGGAATTGTTTATGTAAAGGACGTAGATATGGAAGAAGCTCTCTTAAGGTCATTGGAAAGCTAGGAGGATCCATCACCACGTTCTGTTTTATTCTACATGATTATTATGATTATTACAGATAGTACATAAGGACTTGAAGGCTGCCCATGATCAGCTTGCACTGACGCTAGAGGACCACAAGAGTGCGCTGGCCGCAGCTCAGGTAGGGAGACACACTGACTGCACCGTGTGGGGGCATGATTGTTCTTTCTAACATGATATCTAGTGGCTATCCTGGTTTCTATCGTAATATAAAGTGACTATCCTTGTTTCTAACATGCTATCTAGTGACTATCCTGGTTTTTAACATGATATCTAGGGACTATCCTGGTTTCTATCATGATATCTAGTGACTATCCTGGTTTCTAACATGAGATCTAGGGACTATCCTGGTTTCTAACATGCTGTCTAGGGACTATCCTGGTTTCTAACATGATATCTGGGGACTATCCTGGTTTCTAACATGCTGTCTAGGGACTATCCTGGTTTCTAACATGATATCTAGAGACTATCCTGGTTTCTAACATGATATCTAGAGACTATCCTGGTTTCTAACCTGATATCTAGCACGCATGACTGTAAGTCGCTTTGGATAAAAGCGTCTGCTAAATGGCATATTATTATTATTATTATTATTATTATCTAGAGACTATCCTAGTGAAGGACAGGAAGTTATGACTCTCAGAGCGGCAGTGTCGGTCTGTGTGTGTCTGGGGGTTGGGGCCGTGGGAGGATGGGCGTCAGGTGGGTTGGTTCACTAAGGGGTGTCTGAGCTTGAGCTGCACATCAAAAGCATGCTTAAGCTAATCGAGCGGGAAAATATAATGGGGTGATTGGAGCGAGAGAGAGAAAGAAAGAGTGAGAGGGAAAGAATGTAAGAATTCAGGAAAGCAATGGAGTCTGTTTGATAAACAGGGTGTTGCGGCTTAACTCGTCCAGTCCATTTGATGTACAAGGGGGAGAAAGGACTGTACCACTAATTCTGGAAAGGGGGGGTTGAAGTGGACTGGGCTAATGGTACAGTCAGATGACTTGCAATCTGTAGGCTGCTGCCTGCCTGTCCCCCTTGCAAGATGACCTCTCATTTCTCACATCTGACCCCTGATCTTCCGGCTTGCTTGACGCTGTCTTCCTGGTTCTGAGGACGCTGCCTCCTAACGCTCTTCTAACCTTCAGCTAACCTTAGGCTAACCTTTTGCTAATGCAAGTTTGCAAGTGCCCTTCAATAAATCTGACTTCAGGTTGTTTGCGTGTCCTGGCCTCACTGTTTCCTTATGGTTATTTAATAGTTGTCTGATGGTCTCTCCTCAGGTCCAGGTGGATGAGTTTAAACAACTCAAAGAGACCTTGATCAGAATGCCCAGCCTTCGACATGATCAAAACCCCGCCCACCAACAGGCCCAGCCTGGTGCTGTATTGTCCGAGCCCCATGAACAGGGCCCACCCCCACCACAGCTAGCTGCCTTAGTGGCTACGCCTCGCGTAGAAGCACACACCCATGAGGAAGACCATGAGGAAGACCATGAGGAAGACCATGGGGACACACAGTCCAGGGTACAGGAGGCTGCTCTTTGTTGGCACACATTTGAATCTGTCATGTTATTTTGTGACACTGACACACACACACACACACTAACATCCTCTCTAACCCACTCTGTTCTTCTAATAACCAGTTGCATCTGCAGGAGGAGGTGGTGGCCAAGCCAGAGTTCCAGTCTCAGCCTGCCGAGAAAGAGGCAGAGGGGGAGGCAGAGGGGGAGGCAGAGGGGGAGGCAGAGAGGAGGAGAGAGCTGGCGGAGGAAGAGATGGAGCAGGCGGGGCAGCCCCAGAAGCTGGAGGAGGAATCCGAACAACCACAGGAGGACGAGGGGTTGGAGGCGGAACAAGACCAGCCAGACGACAACGCTCTGGACCGTCAGAGACGCCAACCACAAGTGGGAACAACCACTTTAGAACCAGTTAGAACGGCGTAATACAAGCTCTTTAGAACAGCATTAGAACCTGTTGTCTCATTGTCTCTCTGGTTTCCCCAGGATCCACAAAGTGACATCCACCTCGTCCCTGAGACCCACCTCCAGCAGGAGGCCCACGTGGCCCAGGCGGAGCGGGTGAAGTCTGCCTACGAGCAGCAGCAGGAGCAGCAGCGCCTGGAGGCTGAGCGGGCCCAGAGGACGAGGGAGCTCCAACTGCGCCAGGAGGCCCTGCAGGCCCAGAGAATGAGCGTGCAGAGGGAGCGAGAGCTGCGTCTGAGAGCTCATCACCAGCGAGAGGAGGAGCAGCATCGAGAGGCGGACCGTCGGGAACAGCTACTGAAGGAGGAGCAGCTCAGGTCAGAGGGCAAGGGGTTGGGGTCAAAGGTTATGTAGAGGTCACGAAGAGGTTTCAGTTAAATTCAATACAATTCATCAATTGCTTATTGAAAATAATTTGACCCCACAACATGCCCATGGAATGGTGTTACAATGTGTTGTGTTGTAATGTTATATTCTTCAGGAAGAAGAGTGACTATGAGAACATGGACAATGACATCGTCCAAGGGGATGAAGAACCTCGTATTGATGATGACGAAGGTGAGAGAATCAATCAATCAATCAATCAAGTCACCAAATATTTTAAGGCCTTGACAAATGTGATTGTATACAGTGTATTTGAAAAGTATTCAGACCCCTTCCCTTTTTCCACATTTTATGTTACAGCCTTATTCTAAAATTGATTAAATAAAACAATTTCCTCATCAATCTACATACAATACCCCATAATGACAAAGCGAAAACAGGTTTTTAGAAATGTTTGCAAATGTATTAAAAATAAAAAACATACCTTATTTACATAAGTATTCAGACCCTTTGCTATGAGACTTGAAATTGAGCTCAGGTGCATCCTGTTTCCATTGATCATCCTGTTTCTACAACTTGATTGGGGTCCACCTGTGGTAAATTCAATTGATTGGACATGATTTGGAAATGCACACACCTGTCTCTATAAGGTCCCACAGTTGACAGTGCATGTCAGAGCAAAAACCAAGCCATGAGGTCGAAGGAATGGTCCGTAGAGCTCCGAGACAGGATTGTGTTGAGGCACAGATCTGGGGAAGGGTACCAAAACATTTCTGCAGCATTGAAGGTCCCCAAGAACACAGTCGCCTCAATCAGTCTTAAATGGAAGAAGTTTGGAACCACCAAGAGTCTTCCTAGAGCTGGCCACCAGGCCAAACTGAGCAATCGGTGGAGAAGGGCCTTGGTCAGAGAGGTGACCAAGAACCCAATGGTCACTCTGACAGAGCTCCAGAGTTCCTCTGTGGAGATGGTAGAACCTTCCAGAAGGACAACCATCTCTGTACACTCCACCAATCAGGCCTTTATGGTAGAGTGGCCAGACGGAAGCCAATCCTCAGTAGAAGGCACATGACAGCCCGCTTGGAGTTTGCCAAAAGGCACCTAAAGGACTCTCAGACCATGAGAAACAAGATTTTCGGGTCTGATGAAACCAAGAATGAAATCTTTGGCCTGAATGCCAAGCGTCACGCCTGGAGGAAACCTGGCACCATCCCTACGGTGAAGCATGGTGGTGGCAGCATCATGCTGTGGGGATGTTTTTCAGAGGCAGGGACTGGAAGACTAGTCAGGATCGAGGCAAAGATGAACAGAGCAAAGTACAGAGAGATCCTTGATGAAAACCTGCTCCAGAGCGCTCAGGACCTCAGACTGGGGCGAAGGTTCACCTTCCAACAGGACAACGACCCTAAGCACACAGCCAAGACAACGCAGGAGTGGCTTCGGGACAAGTCTCTGAATGTCCTTGAGTGGCCCAGCCAGAGGCTGGACTTGAACCCGATCTAACGTCTCTGGAGAGACTTGAAAATAGCTGTGCAGCGATGCTCCCCATCCAACCTGACAGAGCTTGAGAGGATCTGCAGAGAAGAATGGGAGAAACTCCCCAAATACAGGTGTGCCAAGCTTGTAGCGTCATACCCAAGAAGACTCGAGGCTGTAATCGCTGCCAAAGGTGCTTTAACAAAGTACTGAGTAAAGCGTCTGAATACTTATGTAAATGTGATATATACATGTATTTTTTTTTAATATATATATATATACGTTTGCAAAGAAATCTAAACTTGTTTTTGCTTTGTCATTATGGGGTATTGTGTGTAGATTGATGAGGGAAAAAAACAATTTAATCCATTTTAGAATAAGGCTGTAAGGTAACAAAATGTGGAATAAGGGGTCTTAACAACATTTTTTTATTTTTTGGGATCAGCTTAATATTGCAGATAGATTGTATCTTCTATCAATGTAATTGTCTGCATCACTTCCAATCCCCCATGTTTTTTTTATTTTTTATATATATACTCCCCTTTATTACTTTTCAACCCCACCATCCTTTCCCTACTTGGAGTAAATTAGTGAACAACAATGCCCAGGCGTCTACTTCCGGTCTATACTTACTATCTACACCTTATGGACAGAGTTACTTTTACAATAATTCTATTATATATATATATATATATATTTTGCTCCTGAACTTCTTCTACTCTCAACCTCTCCGATCATTTTCATTGTGTCCATCCGGTTTGCTTCTATATGCCATATCTTTCTAACTGTGCTCCTTCCCAAAAGCTCCCAACATACAACCTATATACTTATTATGGACACAGTATGCTTACATTATTAGCTATCTTTGTTATTATTTGTTGTTATTTGTTATTAGTCCCATCCTTCAACTCTATTCAATACCTCCCATCTATCTCTTAACACCATCCATATAGGATTTCTATTTGCCATATATATTTCAACCGTACTGTGATGTTTTACAAAAATTCTGAACCTTTCTATTCTCATTGCTTCTACAGATTGTGAATTAAAAAGAAACATTTTTGCTAAAAGTATTATTATATTATTGATTGATTGACTATGACTTTTCAGATCACCCAGTAATGCTATCTGCAAGGTTAGTTCCAGGTAAATATTGCAATCCTTTAGCCATTCCTGGACCTGTGTCCAAAAACAAGCTACAAATGGACAGAACCAAAACAAATGATCTAATGATTCTGTCTCTTCACAGCAAAATCTGCAGAGATGGGAAGATTGTATTCCCCATATAAATAACATTCTATTGGTAGCAAGAATTTTATACAACAATTTAAACTGAAAGATTCTAATTTTTGAATCCGGTGTCGTTTTGCGTGTCAGTTCATAAACACTATGCCATGGGATCGGTACGTCAAAGATCTCTTCCCAACTATTTTGCAATCTATATGGGACGGCTGTCAATCCTTTGGTCCTGAAGTGAAACTGATATACTTTTTTATTTATCACATTTTTCCTTAACCAATTATGTTCTTTAATGCAAGGCCGACAGACAAGTTCCTTACTTTCTCCCCCTTCCACTTTCCTCTTCCACTTTTGCGGTAAGGCTGCAATTATTTGGTTGTAATTTTGGGTAGAGCAGACATTTCCATATGTTTTTGTTAGCTGCATGTGCGACATAACTCCACCAGTCCTACCGATGATATCATTTACGAAGATTATACCTTTTTTAAACATTCTGTCAAAAAATAAAGGTTTTTTTGTCAATTAGTATATTTGAATTTAACCACAATATTTGTTGCATTATTTGTTCTGTCGTTTCTGGAGGACTAAATTGAAATTGCAACCAACTTTCTATGGCTTGTTTTAGAAATAGTGACATTTGGGAGATTATTTCCTTTTCAAATAACTGAAAGTGAGAGGTTGTAATCTGAATAAAGGGAAAAAGGCCATTCTTGAACATGGGGTGAGACAATCTTACTCATTTGCTTGAGAACCAGTTCGGATTTAAGTATAACTTTTGTATGACTGAAGCTTTTAGTGATAGGTCTAATGCTTTAATATTTAATAATTTCTGTCCTCCGAATTCATATTCATTATATAAATATGCTCTTTTAATTTTGTCTGGCTTGCCGTTCCAAATAAAATTGAATACTTTCCGAATGCACTGTATACATGCTTACCTGGCTGTTATCTGACTGACTGTTGGCTTGCTGTGTGTACAGAGAGGGAAACCCACTTGAAGCAAGAGGAAGAGGTCCACCGAGTACCACAACTACAGGAGGTGAGACAGATCTACCAAACAGTGTCTATCAACCACTGATTTCAATAATCCACTGACAGTCATATGGTCTGATGTAAATCTGTGACCCCAGTTTGAACTGTAGTTTTCATTCTTTTGTCCTATCAGATGATATATATATTTATATAGATGAGTCCTCCTTTGTTCTTTTATATGCTTTATTGTATTTATGAATCATGTTCAAACACGTTCCTATCATGTTCAAACATGTTCTACGCCTTTAAAGTAATATAAAATGATTGAATTGACATTGGTTAACTCTGACTACATGTATTTCTAAGAAGTCCTAAAACCACAGTTAGTGATGAAGTGAATTATGGAGGACCTGTTGGCACTGGAGGGCTTTAAATTCCTCTCTCTCTCCCTGCCTGACACTAACATCAGCCTCAATCTCTCTCTCTCTCTCTCTCTCTCTCGCTCTCTCTCGCTCTCTCTCTCGCTCTCTCTCTCGCTCTCTCTCTCTGCCACTATCTCTCTCTCTGCCACTATCTTCAACCCCAGCCACTGTCCCTTGGGTGTTGGTCTAGTGTTCTTTCCATATGTGTGTATGTGCTTGCATGGATAGTAGACCAGAGAAAACCCGCCCCAATCTGAACTGTGATATGCACAGTTTCACACGCTACACACACTGACAAACTCTCTCTCCGTCCTTCCCGTCCTGCAGGGGGCAGTAGAGGGGGAGGTGGACCCAGAGGATGACCCTAATAACCAGGGGGAGGATGAGTTTGATGTGGCGGAGGAGCAGCATCTTCAGAACAGGGAGGAAGAGGAAGAGGAAGAGGAGGCAACGCCGGCCAAACACACAGACACACACCCCAACACCAATCACCCAGCCATAGACGAGGAACTGGTGGTGAGAGGAGGGATAGAGAAGAGAGGGGTAGAAACAAGGCTGAGAGAGGAAGGAAGGAAGGAAGGAAGGAAGGAAGGAAGGAAGGAAGGAAGGAAGGAAGGAAGGAAGGAAGGAAGGAAGGAAGGAAGGAAGGAGGCGACAGGTAGAAATAGTCAGAGATGTACATGAAGATGACACGAGCAACAGGTAACAGTTGTTCCAGTGACTTTGCCATGGTAACAGTTGTCATGGTTTCTGTGTTTACAGATGGCGGTAAACACAGACCAGCAGGAAGACAACTTGGATGAGCAGTATCCGGAGGAGGATGAGGTACATATACACACACACACACACACACACACACACACACACGGGTCTAAACAGAGGGAGAAGACATGGTCTGATGGTGGTTAACCCTGTTAGGTGCAGGATGATTTGGCCGGGGGGCAGAAGAGGGAGGAGGAGGAGGAGCCATACAATGAGGAGAACGGAGAACACGTGAGTCTAGAACACTATGGAATATTGTACGTGGAACCCTGAGTGGGAAAACGACCGTGGGTTTGGGAAACGACCGTGGGTTTGGGAAACGACCGTGGGTTTGGGAAACGACCGTGGGTTTGGGAAACGACCGTGGGTTTGGGAAACGACCGTTGGTTTGGGAAACGACCGTGGGTTTGGGAAACGACCGTTGGTTTGGGAAACGACCGTGGGTTTGGGAAACGACCGTTGGTTTGGGAAACGACCGTGGGTTTGGGAAACGACCGTGGGTTTGGGAAACGACCGTGGGTTTGGGTAATTAAACACACTTTCACTTTCTCAGCGTAGACATGTACTGTACAGTGAGGGAAAAAAGTATTTGATCCCCTGCTGATTTTGTACGTTTGCCCACTGACAAAGACATGATCAGTCTATCATTTTAATGGTAGGTTTATTTGAACAGTGAGAGACAGAATAACAACAAAAAAATCCATAAAAATGCATGTCAAAAATGTTATAAATTGATTTGCATTTTAATGAGGGAAATAAGTATTTGACCCCTCTGCAAAACATGAAAAAGTACTTGGTGGCAAAACCCTTGTTGGCGATCACAGAGGTCAGATGTTTCTTGTAGTTGGCCACCAGGTTTGCACACATCTCAGGAGGGATTTTGTTCCACTCCTCTTTGCAGATCTTCTCCAAGTCATTAAGGTTTCGAGGCTGACATTTGGCAACTCGAACCTTCAGCTCCCTCCACAGATTTTCTATGGGATTAAGGTCTGGAGACTGGCTAGGCCACTCCAGGACCTTAATGTGCTTATTCTTGAGCCACTCCTTTGTTGCCTTGGCTGTGTGTTTTGGGTCATTGTCATGCTGGAATACCCATCCACGACCCATTTTCAATGCCCTGGCTGAGGGAAGCAGGTTCTCACCCAAGATTTGACGGTACATGGCCCCGTCCATCGTCCCTTTGATGCGGTGAAGTTGTCCTGTCCCCTTAGCAGAAAAACACCCCCAAAGCATAATGTTTCCACCTCCATGTTTGACGGTGGGGATGGTTTTCTTAGGGTCATAGGCAGCATCCCTCCTCCTCCAAACACGGCGAGTTGAGTTGATGCCAAAGAGCTCGATTTTGGTCTCATATGACCACAACACTTTCACCCAGTTCTCCTCTGAATCATTCAGATGTTCATTGGCAAACTTTAGACGGCCCTGTATATGTGCTTTCTTGAGCAGGTGGACCTTGCGGGCACTGCAGGATTTCAGTCCTTCACGGCGTAGTGTGTTACCAATTGTTTTCTTGGTGACTATGGTCCCAGCTGCCTTGAGATCATTGACAAGATCCTCCCTTGTAGTTCTGGGCTGATTCCTCACCGTTCTCATGATCATTGCAACTCCACGAGGTGAGATCTTGCATGGAGCCCCAGGCCTAGGGAGATTGACAGTTCTTTTGTGTTTCTTCCATTTGCGAATAATCGCACCAACTGTTGTCACCGTCTCACCAAGCTGCTTGGTGATGGTCTTGTAGCCCATTCCAGCCTTGTTTAGGTCTACAATCTTGTCCCTGACATCCTTGGAGAGCTCTTTGGTCTTGGCCATGGTGGAGAGTTTGGAATCTGATTGATTGCTTCTGTGGACAGGTGTATTTTATACAGGTAACAAGCTGAGATCAGGAGCACTCCCTTTAAGAGTGTGCTCCTAATCTCAGCTCGTTACCTGTATAAAAGACACCTGGGAGCCAGAAATCTTTCTGATTGAGAGGGGGTCAAATACATATTTCCCTCATTTAAAATGCAAATCAATTTATAACATTTTTTACATGCGTTTTTCTGGATTTTGTTGTTATTCTGTCTCTCACTGTTCAAATAAACCTACCATTAAAATTATAGACTGATCATTTCTTTGTCAGTGGGCAAACGTACAAAATCAGCAGGGGATCAAATACTTTTTTCCCTCACTGTATGTAGGTGTGTATTAGGATTGTGTGTGTGTTTGCATGGCCTTATTGTGTCTAACTATAGCCTGCTCAGTGTGTCCCAGTAGTTGAATGAAGGATCAGGTACAGGGTCTCTGTGGGTGTCTGGTTACCCCCAAGCTCATTCTGGCCCTGTGTGTGAGAGCGCCCTATTCACCCATCCAAACACTACTGAATGCTCTGACACAATGGTCAGTCTGTCACCGTTCCAACATACTTGCCTCAATGTTCTAGAATGATCTGCCTGTTGGTCTGTATTCCAGGTTCTCACCTTACTGCTCAATAACGTTCCATCGGTGGCAGTTCCTAGAGTCATGTATACATGGCCTATGGTCTTACCCACCTGGTGACTGTGTGTTTGTTCTGCTGCAGGGTGAAGTGAAAGAGGAGGAGGAGGTCCCAGCAGAGAAAGAGGGAGAACACAGGAAAGAAGGAGAGCTCAACGAGGAGGAGAACTACGAAGACGAGGAGTTGGGGGTTGGACGGGACGAGCGGACCAATCGAAGGGAGATGTGAGATGGACAGAGACATTGACCAATGAGAGTGCCTATCCCCATCACTGGGAGCCAATCAGATCTCTCTATTGTTTCCTCTTTTCCCTAAAGGAGTAAAAACAGTCACCCACTCGGCATTCCGATTGGAATTCTATTTGGAATGTCTGCTTGGAGATGGGATGGTATTCCCTTTTGTGTGGGACAGGAACTGATGAACTTCTGGACAGAATTCTCCTACTGGAACTGGGAATACTATATATACTGAACAAAAATATAAACACTACATGTAAAGATTTTGGTCCCATGTTTCATGAGCTGAAATAAAAGATCCCAGAAATGTTCCATATGCACAAAAAGCTTATTTTTCTCAAATGTTGTGCACAAATTTGTTTACATCCCTGTTTAGTGAGCATTTCTCGTTTGCCAAGATAATCCATCCACCTGACAGGTGTGGCATATCAAGAAGCTGATTAAACAGCATGATCATTACACAGGTGCACCTTGTGCTGGGGACAAAAAAAGGCCACTCTAAAATGTGCAGTTTTGTCACACAACACAATGCCACAGATGTCTCAAGTTTTGAGGGAGTGTGCAATTGGCATGCTGACAGCAGGAATGTCAACCAGAGCTGCTGCCAGAGAATTGAATGTTAATTTCTCTACAATAAGCCACCTCCAACGTCGTTTTAGAGAATTTGGCAGTACATCCAACCGGCCTCACAACCGCAGACCACATGTAACCACGCCAGCACAGGATTTCCACTTGCGGCTTCTTCACCTCCGGGATTGTCTCGACACCAGCCACTGGGACAGCTGATCATAGCATAGATTAGGGCCTAATGAATTTATTTCAATTTAATGATTTACTTATATGAACTGCAACTCAGTAAAATCGTAGACATTTTTGCATGTTGTGTTTTACATTTTTGTTCAGTGAATATATACATCTGTCTGTCCATTCATCATGTGACCTATCAGGCAGACATGAGAAGGTCATGTATGCTATTTGTTTGTGCCCAGAAAGAGATGGAAGGTTTGTGTCTATTTGAGTGTCAGTCTTTCAGATTTTGTTTTTATCAAAGTTTTGTACCGTTTGTTTTTTTACTGCAAATTCCTCTCAATGTATGTTTAGTAAGACCTGCTTTCCAATCTTCTGTTTATTTATTGTAGATATGACAATCCTTATGGGTGGAGTTGAAAATGTTTCTCCAATGTTATGAAAGCGACTATGTCATTACTGCAGGAGAGAACTACTGTATCATGGATGCCAATAGTAGGAAAAACAACCATTCATTTTCATTCTTCTGTTTGCTTGTCTACGTTGCTAGTCCTCTTGTTACTAGCTAAGTATGCATTGCCAGTGGACCACTAGCTAAGGATGCATTGCCAGTGGACCACTAGCTAAGGATGCATTGCCAGTGGACCACAGGTCCTTTCATAGCGTAGTTTCTTTGATCATCTTTTGGTCTGTACCCCTGACTGTTGACATGGATCTAAATCACAAATATCCACTTGACCTTTCACCCGATCCTTAAACACTACTTTACAATGTATAGAAATATAAATACATACATTTGTACATATCTTTCCATCTGCCTGAAAAAAACAATGTTGCATTTGGTAACAAAAAAAAGAGAGAATGTGATTGAATTGAACATGTATAAAGGCATCTCCTAGATGATGGTATGTGGGAGGAATAAACATGGTGAAGGCTTTAAGATGTTTCTTTTTCTCCTGCAGTGGAGCAACCAGTGGTGAAATTATGCGGTCCATCTTACCCTTCCCTTAGGAAATCAAACTACTCTGAAGAGAATGACAATAAGGGAGAGAGAGAAAATACTTTAAACACACATTTCACCTTTCTCCCACCTTTACCCCAAGGCCCAAGATAATCTCATCATCCATGTTGGCCCTCTTCCTGTGTGTGTTCCCCGGGGGGTGGTTCCCGGGGGGTTCTGGGATGTTGGATGTGTGGGAATGTTTCAGAGGTGACTCATTAATGTGCTAATAGCAGGCTGGAGACACGTGCACACACACACACACACACACACACACACACCCTACAGTCATGAGGGAGTGTTCAGTGATGCTAAGCTCTCTCTTCAAGGTCTCTGTCATCTGGAGTCATGGAGGCAGTTTTTGGTCTCTCATATTGGATGTGTTCAAATTATTTCATTAATACTTTCCATGTCTCTCCTATTGCCAGAGGCCAAATCCTATCTTGAAACGCAAATACATAACCAATCACTCTCCCCCCAAATCTACCTTTGACATCGATGCATGATTTTATATGAAGGTTTGAGTTAAGCATACATCTCAATTTAGGATTCAGCCCCAAGGGAATGGCTAAACTATTTAGTAATACTAACAGAATTGCAAGTACCATCATGCAGCCTTCTTGTTGTCCAGAGAGACCAAGGCAATGGACACTCAGTGCTCTAGAGTGTTGTTGTCTAGAGAGACTAAGATAGTGGACACTCAGTGCTCTAGAGTGTTGTTGTCCAGAGAGACCAAGGTAGTGGACACTCAGTGCTCTAGAGTGTTGTTGTCCAGAGAGACCAAGGCAATGGACACTCAGTGCTCTAGAGTGTTGTTGTCCAGAGAGACCAAGGTAATGGACACAGTGCTCTGGAGTGTTGTTGTCCAGAGAGACCAAGGCAATGGACACTCAGTGCTCTACAGTGTTGTTGTCTAGAGAGACCAAGATAGTGGACACTCAGTGCTCTAGAGTGTTGTTGTCCAGAGAGACCAAGGTAGTGGACACTCAGTGCTCTAGAGTGTTGTTGTCTAGAGAGACCAAGGCAATGGACACTCAGTGCTCTAGAGTGTTGTTGTCTAGAGAGACCAAGGTAGTGGACACTCAGTGCTCTAGAGTGTTGTTGTCCAGAGAGACCAAGGTAATGGACACTCAGTGCTCTAGAGTGTTGTTGTCCAGAGAGACCAAGGTAATGGACACAGTGCTCTGGAGTGTTGTTGTCTAGAGAGACCAAGGCAATGGACACTCAGTGCTCTAGAGTGTTGTTGTCCAGAGAGACCAAGGTAATGGACACAGTGCTCTAGAGTGTTGTTGTCCAGAGAGACCAAGGTAATGGACACTCAGTGCTCTAGAGTGTTGTTGTCTAGAGAGACCAAGGCAATGGACACTCAGTGCTCTAGAGTGTTGTTGTCCAGAGAGACCAAGGTAATGGACACTCAGTGCTCTAGAGTGTTGTTGTCCAGAGAAACCAAGGTAATGGACACTCAGTGCTCTAGAGTGTTGTTGTCTAGAGAGACCAAGGTAGTGGACACTCAGTGCTCTAGAGTGTTGTTGTCCAGAGAGACCAAGGTAATGGACACTCAGTGCTCTAGAGTGTTGTTGTCTAGAGAGACCAAGATAGTGGACACTCAGTGCTCTAGAGTGTTGTTGTCCAGAGAGACCAAGGTAATTGACACTCAGTGCTCTAGAGTGTTGTTGTCCAGAGAGACCAAGGTAATGGACACAGTGCTCTAGAGTGTTGTTGTCCAGAGAGACCAAGGTAATGGACACTCAGTGCTCTAGAGTGTTGTTGTCTAGAGAGACCAAGGCAATGGACACTCAGTGCTCTAGAGTGTTGTTGTCCAGAGAGACCAAGGTAATGGACACTCAGTGCTCTAGAGTGTTGTTGTCTAGAGAGACCAAGGTAATGGACACTCAGTGCTCTAGAGTGTTGTTGTCTAGAGAGACCAAGGTAGTGGACACTCAGTGCTCTAGAGTGTTGTTGTCCAGAGAGACCAAGGCAATGGACACTCAGTGCTCTAGAGTGTTGTTGTCCAGAGAGACCAAGGTAATGGACACTCAGTGCTCTAGAGTGTTGTTGTCTAGAGAGACCAAGGTAATGGACACTCAGTGCTCTAGAGTGTTGTTGTCCAGAGAGACCAAGGTAATGGACACTCAGTGCTCTAGAGTGTTGTTGTCTAGATAGACCAAGGTAATGGACACTCAGTGCTCTAGAGTGTTGTTGTCCAGAGAGACCAAGGTAATGGACACTCAGTGCTCTAGTGTTGTTGTCTAGAGAGACCAAGGTAGTGGACACTCAGTGCTCTAGAGTGTTGTTGTCTAGAGAGACCAAGGTAATGGACACTCAGTGCTCTAGAGTGTTGTTGTCTAGAGAGACCAAGGTAGTGGACACTCAGTGCTCTAGAGTGTTGTTGTCCATAGAGACCAAGGTAATGGACACTCAGTGCTCTAGAGTGTTGTTGTCTAGAGAGACCAAGATAGTGGACACTCAGTGCTCTAGAGTGTTGTTGTCTAGAGAGACCAAGATAGTGGACACTCAGTGCTCTAGAGTGTTGTTGTCCAGAGAGACCAAGGTAGTGGACACTCAGTGCTCTAGAGTGTTGTTGTCTAGAGAGACCAAGGTAATGGACACTCAGTGCTCTAGAGTGTTGTTGTCTAGAGAGACCAAGGTAGTGGACACTCAGTGCTCTAGAGTGTTGTTGTCCAGAGAGACCAAGGCAATGGACACTCAGTGCTCTAGAGTGTTGTTGTCCAGAGAGACCAAGGTAATGGACACTCAGTGCTCTAGAGTGTTGTTGTCTAGAGAGACCAAGGTAATGGACACTCAGTGCTCCAGAGTGTTGTTGTCCAGAGAGACCAAGGCAATGGACACTCAGTGCTCTAGTGTTGTTGTCTAGAGAGACCAAGGTAGTGGACACTCAGTGCTCTAGAGTGTTGTTGTCTAGAGAGACCAAGGTAATGGACACTCAGTGCTCTAGAGTGTTGTTGTCTAGAGAGACCAAGGTAGTGGACACTCAGTGCTCTAGAGTGTTGTTGTCCATAGAGACCAAGGTAATGGACACTCAGTGCTCTAGAGTGTTGTTGTCTAGAGAGACCAAGGTAGTGGACACTCAGTGCTCTAGAGTGTTGTTGTCTAGAGAGACCAAGGTAATGGACACTCAGTGCTCTAGAGTGTTGTTGTCCATAGAGACCAAGGTAATGGACACTCAGTGCTCTAGAGTGTTGTTGTCTAGAGAGACCAAGGTAGTGGACACTCAGTGCTCTAGA